GCACACCCACCCCATGTCATGAAAGCAGTATGAATTCCAATCTCAGCTGCGGTTAAGCTGTATTTAGAAAGAAGCCGTACTGGTCCAGTATGAAGAATCCTAGTAATCTTAGTATTAAAAAATCCAGTGATTTCAAGACTGTAGAACAAGACTCCAAATTTGGAGCATGATTGAAGGAAAAAATATATGTACATTTCTCTCTATAGATGTAGGTCCTCCTCTAGGTGTCCCTCCGTAAGTTGAATTAATAATAATCACTCATTCACCAATTTCACTTATTTTCTCTTTCTTTCTTTCTTTCTTTCTTTCTTTCTTTCTTTCTTTCTTTCTTTCTTTCTTTTTGGTTGAGATATAACTGACACATTACCATTACATTGGTTTCAGGTGCACAATGTAATGATTTGATATGTGTATTTATTGCAAAATGGTCACCATGCTAAGTCTAGTTAACCAGCCTTACTTCTTGACCTGAGGTTTGGCTGTCATTTGAAAGACCAGCACTTCCGACAGCTTCGCTCTTGGCATTGTGGCATGTCTTGACACTATGATATGCCAGCTGAGAAGCAGAAAACACCCATGTGGTAAATTTCGTGGACGATGCAATTTATGAAAAAAATGAAGAGTTCACAGCCTTTTATTTGACTCTCAGAAAAGAAGCACCACCTTGGGAGCCTCAGTTGGGGACTCCAGCGAGGCCCTGGTCAGGATGGAGGATGAAGAAGACAGGGAGATTTTAGTTACTTTCTACTTTTAGGGCTGGTAGGAAATACCAAAGTCAGGAGCTAGAAATTTACAAATTAAAGAGGTGTTGATCAACACATGTTCTAAGTCTAGATATAAGAATTAAGTTGCACATGCCCTGCCTGAAGATGGAGAAACTATTTTATAGAGCCATTATTAACCGTTCTTCCCACATGAGATTTTTTTCCTACACAATTTGAGAATCCACTAGTTCTCTAAACATGACCGTAGGAATGTCTCTGCAGGCATGCATTGTCCAAATTGTAAATGGAATCGTAACTTGGAGCAGAACTCAATTAACCCTGTTACACTCCATCTTGAGGGTTCACACAAAGGACGGCTCAGCCGCTTCTGGGGGAAACCACAGTCCTGTGTCTAAAGCTGGGGTCACCAGAAATCACGCCCAACGGGGATGGTGTTGTCTTTGCATCCCATTCCTTCCACTGTGCATTTGTTATCAGCAGTGCTAATGACCAGTATTTTTTTTTTATAAAGAGGCATTAAGCGTAAAAATGTGAAAAGAAACGTAGGTCTGTGTTTGGATTATTTTCATGTTGCATCTATAATGATCTAGCGTGGAGACACATTGTGAAATCTGTAAGCAGGACAGGGCATCTTGGAGATTTTGAAATGCCAGGCAGAAGGCACGTTCACAAGAGGAACGTGCGAGGATCCTCGCACTGGCTCAGTAGATGAACGCGTAGGCAGAAAGTGGCAGATAAAAGGCATGTTACTATGTGGGCAAGACAATAAGCCTTTTAGAGAAAGATTCCCCACACCACACTGAGAGGACCAAAGTCTCAGATCGCATGAGGAAAGGATGTTGTCCCCCTGGGTGTCCTGAGAGGCTGTCTGTCTCATCTGCTGCTGAGGTCAACCCCCCGAATGCTGGAGGTCCCCAGGCACTTTATAGGAGGGCCTCAAGAACTGGGGAAAAGCTATTAAAATGAGAAGAGAAATGGGGTGCTGCCTTAGGAAATGAGAAGAAACAATTTCAGGATTTTCACTCAGCGAAGACCAAACCAGCAACAAGATGTCCATTCATTCAGAAAATACCGTTGGGGAACCCTTTACACCCGAGACGTTTTTTAGTCCCTAGGAATAAAGCAGCAAATAAAGGTGAAGCTTTCAAGCTCAGGAAGAAAATGAAACAGACAGAATCAATAAACTTGTACTATTGGCAAGGAGCATA